AGTTGAAGAGCACCGGGCCCAGTACTGACCCCTGTGGGACACCACTGGCCACAGACCTTCAACTAGACTTGGCCCCATTTATCACCACCCTCTGAGCTCTGCCATCCAGACAGTCCTCAATCCACTTTACAGTCCCCTCAGTCCATATTTCCTAAGCTTTCCTATGAGGATGTTATGGGAGACTGTATCGAAAGTCTTGCTGAAGTTAAGGTAGTCAACATCCACAGCTTTCTCATTGTCTGTCCAGCCTGTCACCTCATTGTAGAAGGCTATCAGGTTCATCAGACATGATGCCCTTGGTCACCCTTGGTGAATCCATGCTGACTACTCCTCATCACTTTCTTTTCCTTGACATACCTAGAGATGGTCTCTAGGATGAGCTACTCCATCACCTTTCCAGGGACAGAGGTGAGGCTGACCAACCTGTAGATTCCATACCTTTTTGGAAGACTGGAGTGACATTGGCTTTCTTCCAGTCCTCCGGCACCTCCCCCATCCTCCATGACCTCTCAAAGATGATGGAGAGTGGCTGATCAATGACCTCTGCCAGTTCCCTCAGCACTCTTGGGTGCATTCCATCCGGGCCCATAGATTTATGGGTGTCCAATTTGCCAAAATAATCCCTAGCCCAATCCTCCTCAACCATGGGAAACTCCTCCTCTCTCTTGTTTCTCTCTCTTGTCTCCAGGCTCAGTACATGAGGACTGGCCTCAGCAGTAAAGACTGAGGCAAAGAAGGCCTTAGTAACTCTGCCTTCTCTGCATCCTCTGTCACCAAGGCACCCTCCCCATTCAGCAGCGGAGTAACATTTTCCCCAGTCTTCCTCTTGCTGCTGATGTATTTGTAGACGCGCTTCCTGTTGTCCCTGACATCTCTCACTAACTCTAATTCCAAACAGGCCTTGGCCTTCCTCTTTGCATCCCTGCATCCTCTGACAATGTTCCTGTACTCTTCCCATGTGGCCCGGCCCTTCTTCCACATGATGTAGGTTCTCTTTTTCTCACTGAGTTTATCCAACAGCTCCTTGCCCGTCCACACAGGTCTTCTGCCCAACTTGCTTGCCTTCTTTCTTTTAGGAATACACCGATCCTGAGCTTGGAGAAAGTGGTGCTTAAATAGTAGCCAACTCTCCTGGACCTCCTTTCCTTCTAGGACCCTAGCCCAGGGAATTCCTCCAAGGAGCTCCCTGAAAAGGTCAAAGTTATCTCTCTTAAAGTCCAGGGTTGCAATCCTACTTCTTGTCCAGCTTCCTCCTTTCAGGATTGTGAATTCCACCATCTCGTGGTCACCAGTTGTGACCATGAGTTTTGGTTGTTGAAGAATTAAATGCCATGGAGAAATGTTCAAAGGAAAGCAACCACAGAATTTCCATATCCATTACTCTTTATTAACCCAAACACATTGAATGCACTTCATATAATTATGATGGCTACATTTTTGACAATCAATATTAGCAAAATCAGAAAGCAGAGCAGAGTTTCCTACTGGGCCTGATGCCTCTTTTTTCTTCCAGGAGATGGACTGTTTTTCTTGTGCCTCTGCTACCGATTGTGAGACTGCCAGCACATGGAAATCTACAGTTCTGGCAGGAGTCAGGAGTCCCTCCAGAGTAAGAGGGAAAGACAAAGTCATTCTGCCAGAGAGAATTTAGGAAAGTATTTGAGGGAGGTTTTGGGTGGGTTTTGCACATGATTCTGGTCTTAAGGATGCTTGCCAATGCCCTGCAGGCTTGCTTGGTTTTCAACTCACATGGGAAACAGCAGGAAAACAGGAGAGCTGGGCACAGCAGACATCACTAAGAAATGCTCACATATTTTGACTTTGACATTTGAGACCAGTCCTTTCTTACACCAAAGGGAAGCATGTTCACTCAGAAACTCTCAAGATGGCTTTCACACCCTTCTACAAATAAAGGCAGTTTCTATAGTATTGATGAGATTTGGGACAAGCTGATTTTGGATGTCGTTGCTTCTCAGAACTTGCATAGAAGGGGTCTAGTGTGACATATAATGGTCCATGAAAGCAAGTCTGATGTGTGGCTGAAAAGTGTGATTGGAAGATCCTCACAAAGCTTTCCCATCCCATAAGAGAGCTCTTTTTTTGGAGAAACAGACCACATAGATGTTTATTGCTATTTTCATTATATTTTGAGTAACAGGGATGTAAAAACTTAACCTACTGATAAGAATTCAAAACAAAAGCTGCCATACACTACCAAGTAAATGTTCCTCTCATTCCTGGGGTGCAGAGACACTTCCTTCCCTTGTGTGTTCTATTGGTAAAAGTAAAGGCAAATGCCACCCACGAACTGCAAGCCTGAACTCTAAGGATTCCCCTCCTTGACTGGCTCACTGAAGGTTTAGCAAACAGAGATGGAAGTGTGCGGTATGAATTTGCTGTAGAACTTTGAGTCAAGTGACCAAAGCAGGGGGCATTCTGACAGGAATGCAGTCTCCTCCTGGATCTTTGTATCACTTATCCATTTACTTCCCATCATGGTCCTCCTCAAACCCTTGGGCTATTTTCAGGGGCTCAGTGTCAGGCTTTGCAGAAATGGAGCCTGTTGAGAAGAAGGGAAAGAACTTCTCTTCCTGGTGGCTGTCTCTGCCAAGGGAGAAAGTGTACACAGCTGTTTTCTTGCTGACATTATAAAAACACAACTGTCTGGTTGTGGTATCCAGGAAGATCCCAATCCTTGTGGGTTTCCCACTCACAGCCAAGCGGGTCCAAGGCTCTGTGCGGGCCCAATACTCTCGCCCATCTGCTAACCCTATGACCCAGAAGCCCTTCTCTGGGGACAGAGTCAGCGTGCCTTTCCGTGTCACAGGCTCCTGTGCAATGCCCACCTCCCAGTTGCTTCTCTTCCCAACATCCACTTCCCAATAGTATTTCCCACATGTGTATCCCTCCTTTGCCAAAAGGAAAGTGTGGGAGTCAAATCTCTTGTCAGTTCTGGGCACATTCCTGATAGTGCCGGTATCTAACACACTCTTGCCATCTTCAGAGACCTCGAGTCTTGGATGAGCTGTGTCAGCATCCAGGGTGACATCCACTGCAAAGATGAAGCCATTCCTTCAGTATTAAACACTTGTGCTCTGCTTTTCTAACATTTTCTACCCAGTGTCCCTGTACTGCTCTTCGTTTATCAGACCTCTGCCTGCTTTTCCATGTTCCCCAATTGACTTCCTGTATCAGAATACCTGCAGCCATTGTCCTCCCAAATCTCTCAAGTTCTTTGCTCTTGTCTATAGAATGCTAAGAGAGTGTCCAGAAGGTTAAAGAACTTTTGCTGGAAGTGCAGGTAGTACTAAGAAGGAATGTAAGGTCATTACCACTGTTTTCCTTCAACATTGCAGCTCAACAGAATTGAGTAGAGGAAAACAACCATGCCTCCATACACACAAAACCTCTTTGGGCAAAACCATCAGCTATTTGCCTGAGTTTTGGGAGAAATCGTGTTGGCCAAGACTGCATGGCTTAAGCCATGGTGGTAGTGGTGGGATACTTTTTGATTCAGCCTTTGCAGGCAGTAGAGTCCCACTTGTTGACCCCAGACCATATTCAGCTGTGCATTGCTCCACAAGGAATACAGATTCAGGATAAGTGTTCCAAGTGACCTCCCTGAAATAAGGCTCTCATTCTCCCTAAAGCCTTGGGCAGCACCATGAACAATGGAAAGATTAAAAGACAGGGAATTGGCCAATTGAGTTGGCAATCAGCCTTTTTTTATCTCTTACCTTTGTGAGGCTGTATTTTCAAAAACTCTGTAGGAAAATGAATAAAAGAGGGAATAAGTGAATGTGAGAAGAATGCCTTGTCTTCAGAGAGCTAATGAATAATCCATGCTTCTGATCAGAAGAGCATACCCTTCTGCTAAACATCTGCCTTTGACAGGTCAGAAAACACATCAAAAGCCCCTGTCCTCCTCCAGAGAGGAAAAGTCTTTGGATCACTCAGGAGATTGCTCTCTGAGAAGCCTTTCAAACATACATGGCCTCTGAGATGGAGAGGGAGGAGAGAAGACACGGTGCCTGACAGCACACAGAGCGAGCAGTGAAAAGGGGAGGAAAAACAAGCAAACAAAACAAGTTTTTACAGATGGAAAAAGCATGCCTTTCTTTAAAAATGGCCTGCCAGACCAATAATTACACCGTATCAAATCATCTTCTCACCCCCTTTATGATGAGTCTGGAAGACTCTGTATTGGGCACTCATGGACACACCCAAGGAGTTCCTTTCATCTCATTAACTATCAAGCTCTTTTAACGCTAGATTTCTTCACATTTGCACCCTCGACTCCATGTGTACATGGAACCTCTCACACACCGCAGAGCACTCATCGATCTACCTATCTAGTTGTCTTGCAAAATAAGTGTGGAAACTGCTGGTAACTGAATTACATGAAGTACTCTGTAAAGTTTTATATTAATCTAGGAAGATGAAAGCCTGCATCAGCTTGGACAATGCTGAGACTCTTCCCTCCTCATAGAAAACTCTTTCCAGATGGGTCATACAGTCAGGGAAAAGAAACCAATGTGGATATTGCAGTTGTGATGGGGGAGGACTGGAGGGCAAGGGATATGTCTGGATGAAAGCAGAAGCTTTTCCTTCTGCCCACCATGCTGTGGGCTGGCCCCATGGATAAACAGCATTTCACATTCCCATCTTCCTGTCTAGAAACAAGACTATCTCCCACACCAGAGGGCACTTCCCTAGTTGTCCTTGCAGTTGAGCTGCAAAAGAAAGCAGGAGGACTGATACAGACTGCTGCTGAATCCCAGCATTCAACACCACTTACCATTCTCCTCATTTGTTTGAGTTGTAAAAGGAAGGAAAAAAAGGGCTTAAAAAAAGGCAGGCCATTGCACTCACGCCCATTGACAACTCCTTAACAAGTATTTGGTGAATTCACCCCTGCAGCAGGGTTTCACCCTAGCTCAAATAAGAAGGACTGGCCCCACCATTACACAGTCCCACTCTTCCCTCTAACAACACGGAGCCCCTCTCCCATGCCAGCAAGCACTCACCTAGCTGTTCTTGCAGTTGAGCTGCAAAAGAAAGCACAAGGACTGTTACAGACTGCTGCTGAGTGCATTGCACAACGCACTTCAGGACTACTCTAGCAGAGCCCTGATTCCTGGGAGAAGGCTAGTTGCTTTTGGCAGCCAGTGCAGGGCTGTGGGAATGTACAGTCCTGCCATGGGAAACCCCTTGGCTCCTGGTTTCACAGAGCTAAACACTGGCCCTGGTGGAGAGACCTACTCAAGGCAAGCTCCACAGTGCTCACCAGTGAATCCATTCTCCTTCCACCGTTCCCTTTCTCCCTTTTCTCATTTCCTTCTTCTCCCCTTCGGAGATTCTTGCCTTTCACCCTACCTTCTATCCCTCTCGCTTTACTCCAGCAATTCTTTCCTTGTGTCCTTTTGCCTTTCCAACATGCACAATTCCCTTCTTTTTTGCCTTAAGGGATTCCTTCTCTCCTCCTTGCCCTGCTTAGAGCTTCCTCCTCGCCTCATCTTCTGTTTTCCTTCTTTCTCACCTCATGTCAGGCCTGCCTTCTGTCCCATCACAGCCTCTCTTCACATGCTCTTCTTCCTCTGCTGGGAATCTCTGCTGAGAGGGCTTTAGCTGAAGAGGGTTTAAGCTTAAGCCACTGGGCAGCACCCAAAGGGGCTGAAGCTCCACTAGTGCTCTCAAGAATGGGCTGCTTGCCTGCCCCAAGAAATTCTAGGGGTTTGCATGCTAGCAATTTCTTCTCACCTTCTGAGCACTCCAGAAGTGCCCTGTCCCACACAAAGGAGAACACTTACCCCTTTTCTCTTTCAGTTGAGCTACAAAAGGAAGGGAAAAGGTTCATAGCAAAGACAAGGTACTGTGCACACATGCAACCATGACTCCTCACCCAGCCCTTTGCTGACTTCTCCCTTCCCCTTGCTGCAGCTCTCTTTGTGGTCTGGATTCTGCAACACGGGCGCTACAGGCACCACCTCTCATCCTTGTACCCCTTGACATCCTGGCATGCAATGCCCATCCCTTCCTACAGGGCCTTGCGGATCACAACATGATGTGGACCTACAAAACAGGCTGAGGCAAGGAGGCTTTACTGAACCAAGCAAGAAGCCCAGGAGGTCTCACAAGATCCTGGATGCTGAAGCAATAGCAAAAAGGAATGGCCACTCACTGTTTTCTTTCAGTAGTCGGCCTGTAAAAGGCAAAGAGAAATGGAAAAGAGAGAGAGGTGTAAGTGTTTGTAGAGCCTCTCTCCCTTGCCCCTTCCACCCTCCTTCCCTCACTCTCCATTTCAGCTCTGCCTTCTGTCCCTCCCAGCCTCCCTCCCACATGCTCTTGTTCTTCAGCAAACCCTGCGGGAGAGACGTTACATCAAGAGGAAGACCTTCATTGGGCAGCCTTCACTGCACCAGCAGCTCTCGTGCTCACAACCGTGAGCTCTCTTCTGGTGGTAATATCTCCTGTGTTTTGGGACATCATGAATTTCCTCTTGCCTAGACATTGCTTCAGAAGGTTCACGTCCCAGCATTCAACACCACTTACCATTCTCCTCCTTTGTTTGAGCTGTAAAAGCAAGGAAAAAGGGGCTTAACAAAGGCAGGCCATTGCACTCATACCCATTGACAACTCCGCAACAAGTATTTGGTGAAATCACCCCTGCAGCACGGTTTCACCCTAGTTCACACAAGAAGGACTGGCCCCACCATTACACAGTCCCACTCCTCCGTCTAGCAACACGGAGCCCCTCTCCCATGCCAGCAAGCACTCACCTAGTTGTTCTTGCAGTTGCTCTGCAAAAGAAAGCACAAGGACTGTTACAGACTGCTGCTGAATGCATTGCAAAATGTACTTCAGGACTACTCTAGCAGAGCTCTGATTCCTGGGAGAAGGCTAGTTGCTTTTGGCAGCCAGTGCAGGGTTGTGGGAAAGTCCAGTCCTACCTTGGGAAACCCTTTGTCCTCTGGTTTCACAAAGCTACACACTGGCCCCAGTGGGCAGATCCACTCAAGGCAAGGAGATAATGCAAGCTCCACAGTGCTCACCAGTGAATCCATTTCCTTCCACTGCCCCCTTTTCCCCTTTTCTCATTTCCTTCTTCTCACTTTCCGTGATTCTTGCCTTTCATTCTTCCTACTATCCCTATTGCCTTACTACAGCAATACTTCCCTTGTGTCCTTTTTGCCTTTCCAGTATGCCCAATTCCCTTCTTTTTTGCCTCAAGGGATTCCTTCTCTCCTCCTTGCTCTGCTTAGAGCTTCCTCCTCCCCCCCTCTTCTGCTTTCCTTCTTTCTCACCTCATGTCAGGCCTGCCTTCTGTCCCATCACAGCCTCTCTTCACATGCTCTTCTTCCTCTGCTGGGAGTCTCTGCTGGGAGGGCTTTAGCTGAAGAGGGCTTAAGCTTAAGCCACTGGGGAACATCCAAAGGGGCTGAAGCTTTGCTAGTGCTCTCAAGTATAGGCTCCTTGCCTGTCCCAAGAAATTCTAGGGGGTTGCAGTCTAGCAATTCCTTCTCACATTCTGAGCACTCCAGAAGGGCCCTGTCCCACATAAAGGAGACCACTTACCCTTTTTCTCTTTCAGTTGAGGTACAAAAGGAAGGGAAAAGGTTCATAGCAAAGACAAGGCACTGCAGTCACATTCCACCGTGGCTCACCACCCAGTCTTTTGGTTACTTCTCCCTCCCCCTTGTTGCAGCTCTCTTTGTGGCCTGGGATCTGTACCATGAGGCCTACAGGCACCACCTCTCAGCCTTTTTTGCTCTCAGACCCTGGCATTTAATGATCATCCCTTTCTACCGGTCCTTGAGAATCACAACATGATGTGGACCTACAAAACTGGCTGAGGCCAGGAGGCTTTCCTGAACCAAGAAAGAAGCCCAGGAGGTCTCAGAAGACCACAGATGCTGAAGAAAGAGCAGAAAGGAAAGGCCACTTACTGTTTTCTTTCAGTAGTTGCTCTGTAAAAGGCAAAGAGAAATGGAAAGGAGAGAGAGGTGTAAGTGTTTGGAGAGTCTCTCTCCTATGCCCATTCTGCCCTCCTTCCTTCACACTCCATTTCTGGTCTCCCCTCTGTCCCTCTCAGCCTCCCTCCCACATGCTCTTGTTCCTCAGGAAACAAGAGGAGGATCTGTTGCTGAAGAGATGCCAGATCATGAGGAAGACCTTCACTGGGCAATCTTCACCACACCACCAGATCACTAATGCTCACAATCAGGAGCTCCCTGCTGGTGGAAATGTCTCCTGCATCTTGGCACACTATAAATTCCCCCTCACCTCAAGAATGCTCCTCAAGGACTTTTTCCCACCGCTTACCCCTCTCCTTCTGTGCTTGTGTTGTAAAAGGAAGGAAAAGGGAGCTTAAGAAAGACAAGCCATGGCACTCAAACTCACACAGGACTCCCCATCCAGGTCCTTGCTGACATCTCCCCTCGTGTTTTTGCAGGAGGTTACTCTCCTAGCCTCCATGAGAAGGACTGGCCCCACTAACACACAGAGCTCCCCACTCATACTCTTCCCTCTAGCAACACAGAGCCTCTCTCCCATGCCAGCAAGCACTCACCCAGCTGTTCTCACAGTTGGGCTGCAAAAGACAAGCTTATCTGAGGGAATGGGTCCTGACTTTAGTAGTCAGAAATCTCTTGCGCTTACCTAATTGAGTCTTCAGTAGGTCATAATCTGCAAGAGAGAAGAAAACGATCAGTTTCTTGGTTCCCTAGGCATGAGGTTCAGCATTCCAGTCTCACTGCAGAAGCCCCTCAGGAAAGCTGAGAGGAAAGGTTGATCAGGTGTACAGTTGTGACTATTCATTTTATCGGATATAGACAAGCAGGACAGAAAGTATGCATATATTTTCCTCCCTGAAAAAACCTTCTCTTTCTCTAATATATACATATAACTACCACAGAAGGTGATGTACACCAATAACACATACATCTGATGACATCTAGGGAGGCCCTCAGGAAGGTGCTCAGATACCTTCTTGCAATTTTTACCTCCATGTGAGCTTAACCATTGGTGATTAGAGCACTCCAGTCATTCTCCATATGGACAGACATTCAAAGGAGGAGAAGGAATCTCCCTGGAAACTTGAGAAATACTGCCAAAAAAAAAAAAAAAAAGAAGAAA